CAAAGGACTTACATTATAACTCCTTCTATCCATGTGGTATTTCTTTATTTAAAAGGTAATGTATGACGGATCTCAGTTAATTTCACTTGGAAGTTTCAATCTGTAAACCAATTTTGCTCCCTGTAGAGAAAGAATACAGATCCCCTCCTGCAGCCCAATGTAATGATGAAGGAATCTGAAAGTGGTTCTGGGGAAGTACAATCCAAGTTGCTGGCCGTGTGGCCTTTGGCCTATTATCAGACTAGGATGTGGCAGGCATCAAAGAGCTTTGGTTCCTTAGCCCTTATTCAACTCTAGATAATGTTTCTCTTTGTTACAGTTTATATGGACTAGTATTCTTTTAAAATATATGATACATAGTCATATCGGTACAGTCTGCATGGTCTCTTAACACTTGAACTCTGCCTTACGGAACTGCATTTTATTTATTATTGTTTTCAGCATTTGTTCTATTTTGGCCTCGTTTCTAGCATGGAGATTAGAAAAAATTAATCAAGTATTTAGCTTGATGACAGGTTCCCTTCAAATGGAGAAGCAGGACATAATCTATATAATCTATTTTAGATAGGCCTTTATGTAGAAAAGTTTATTTTGGTTTGACTAAATACAGTTAAATTGAAGTATAACTTGAGGTCTGGACTGTAAATTCAGCGCTTTGCAAAAGACAAACCTAAGACCTGTACCTGCTGGTCACCAGCAGGGCATCACTAATCTAAATGAATGAAACTCATTATGTTCATTTTTGTCAGTCCTGAAGTACCCACCATCATTTCGGCTTCCTGCCAACAGTAATGTCCATTAAATGAAAGAGGCAGCACGGTTGAATTCTTAGTACAGCATGGATTTCTTTCAGATCCATTATGTCACACTAGGTGAACTAATAAAAATATGTCATTATTGTCCTGGAAAGAAAATGGGTACCTTTAAAATGTCAATTTAAAAATATTAGTCTATTATTCCATAGTATGGGAATAATCAGATCTGCCAAAGCAGATCCCTTGGATAAAAGGAGGCAGAGACTACAGACATTGAAATGCTAAATATAATTTGAGTATTTTAATTGCTTGCTTCACTAAATGATAAACATATTCTTCAATGGTTTGTCCTTGGACAAATTCACCTATGCAGTCACATGTGTACTCTGATAAGAAAATTCTGTAATTAAAGTTTAGAAAACGTTCGAGTGACTGCAGAGAGGAAAGCCATTTACTTAATCCTGACTAAATCCCATTTTTGTCCATAAGATGTAGCAACCTAACAGCGAGGAAAGCAACCAGCCGAAATGTTGATACTAAAAAAAGTCATAATGACTGTAGAGTTTTCAGTCAACCTTGGATGCACACATTTTGTACCGGTCTCAACTGGGAAAAGTACCACAGGGTAAGTACATGTCTGACAGATGTCCTCCAGCAGCATTTCTGTATGACAAATGCATTTAAAAGTATGTGAACATGGAAATCACTGACCTCTGGAGCAATTTCAACATTACAACCACCCAGAGGATAACAGGTGGAAGTTGTCACTATAAGAAATACTTGAATTGCATAAGAAATTTCTCTCTTTTTATATACTTCATTGTAAATTATGCATTTGTTATGTATATTATGCGCATACTTAGCCAGAAGTACAGAACACACCATTTTAAAGTTGCCACCTTGCACTGTATTATGAGCACAAAACCCTCTAACTGTGACTATGTATATCATTGCTTCCAAACAAAAATGACTCATGATTCCAGTCAGAATAAAATTCACCAATGGACTTACACTGAATTGTTGATATCCATTTGGTATTTCTTTACATTTTATTTAAAAGGGAAAATATAAAGATTTCCATCATTTTCATATAAACAGTTCCAACGCATACATTTTTGTAAACCAATGAGCAATTTTCTTTAGTTTTATATATAAAATCATTCCCTGTTATGTAAAATACATAGAGCAAGAAGATTCATCTGCACTGAATATTTGGTGAATGTCACATTCACAGCATAAAAATAGTACTTTTTTTGAGAGCATACTGGAATTTACAATAACAAAATCAGAGGCGTTGATTTACTAAAGGTAAGTGCATTTGCTTTAGATGAAATGTGGTGAAGCTTTTCTGTTTTCTTTCATGCAAACATGTGCAAGCAAAAATGCTGTTTTTTTATTTTCCTTGCATATTCCCCTTAGATCTAGACCAACTGCACTTTCAGTGCACTTGGAGTGCACTTGCAGTGCAAAGCCTACTTGCCTTTAGTAAATCAACCCCATAGTATTGGCTGCTTTCTACTCATCAGCTTAGGTAAAACTAAACCAGACTTCCTGCTTCTGCTAGAAGAGGAGGCAATCTCTCCTAAACAATTCAGCAGTCTGTGTTATGTGATCTCTTCTGCTATTCATATCTATTTTTCTGAACTGTTGTAGCAAATAAAATCTTCAGAAACCGCTATTCTAATTTGAAGCATAACACCTTCTCGGTGAAAATTGCTAAATTAATTATTCAAAAGGTGGCATTTCATATTTACCTAATTAAAAACAAACAAAACAATAAAAAGTATAAATAAAATACAATGCGAAATATAAATATATGTTTGTGGAAAAATCATAAGTAACATAACAGAAGCAAATATTCCTTTCTAATAGCTAAATATACAAACCAGAACATACTTGTGTTTTTTTCCCTTCCGAACCTATTAAAATATATTTAGATGCCTGAATGTTTGCTCATTCTGTCAACAAAAATGTTATTGGGATCTGCTGAGACATATAATTTAATGTAGTTTCATACAGTGCAGTAACAAAATGTTCCAACAATGAAGTCAGTGACACATGTAGATAAGAGGTTTGTGACAACAGTTTTCTGAACATTAGCCATTTGTCAAAGGCTCTTTGTGACAGAGAAAATTTGCTACAAACGGACTTCAGATAAAAACAGCACAAGTTGCTAGAATATAACATAAGATCAGCTGTGTCATGGATTAATGTGCTGCTTTTATGAAAAGAAAAGGAACAATTTATTGGCTCCCATTAGCGGTGAGGGAACCAGGCAAAGTTTGGTCTGCAGGAGGCTTGGCGAACCCAACAGAAGTCCACAAATCCCAAACATGCCCAATTGAAGTCTATGGGAAGTCTATACTTTTTTCTGCCATTTTTCTAGTTTACAAGCTTTTGTTAAAAGAAGAGCATGAGTAGGTGGGCATTGCCATAGGGGACATGTAACAATGCAAAAATTAAAAAAAAATTACATTCAGGGGGAAAAGATAATTCAATATTGCTTAAAGAGCAATGCTGAATTCACAAACATCCTTTAAATAACATGCTTGGGGATGCCTGCATGAGAACCTTACCCTTTAAAAGTGAGTGTAAAAACTACTACAGCTAAATGTGGGATCCCCACGCCAGCTTCTGTTTGTATACATTATTTGGTCAATGACATTGCCATGCATTGGGTTGCCAAGTGGTGTGACAACATTAGACATCAGCTCATCATATTTGATTAGGATCTGCATCACTGGATGACATAATTAATGTTGGATTTACATTTTGGGACATTGTTTTCATTTTTTTAAGTATTATAGTTTTTGTTGAAAGTTTAAATAGAACATATAAAAGATGATGATCAATTAGATGGTTGGACATGGAACTGAGATATTTCCATGTGGTAGTATAGGTGTACACATACAAAAATAATGAGATAACAGTAATTAGCTAGCAATATGAAGCTGTTGATACAATTCTTCAGGTGCCTCGAGGAGACGGATTCACAGAAGGGAAGTAAGTGTGAACATGATCCTGACGTATGAGAAGTAAGGGGGAGAAATACTGAAGGGGAAAAAAAAAGTAGGACAAAAGGCAAAGAGTAATAGAGAAGAGGAGGGAAGGCAGGGTAAAGAACAAATTGACAGATATTTGCTGGGCAGGAAAAAGCATGATCTCTGTTCGCGGATACCCATAAGGAATGCAATACAAATATCATCAAGACAGCAATGTGCAAAAATTGTGACTATCACAAAAGAGAATCCAGAGAAGCCAGGTGACTAGAAATTGTGGATATTTGTTGTATAGTTTAAGCATTAGCGGTTACATCCACATTTTTTTTCTGATAAATAGCTTTGCCATCTTATCTTGCCTTCATTTGCTTTTTATTTTTGGGGGGAGATGAGTCAGAAGGGGTACTCGTGTACTCTGTCCCTTAAAATTCATACCAAACCCTTATTTAGGCATGCAGCCTTTGGTGGCCAGGGGAGGACGGGGACAAGTACCTCTTTCCCCAAGAGGAATGTGGTGGTTTTCGGGAGAGCTTATTGGAATCAGAAGACCCCTTTATAATAAGAGAGAGTCCAATATCCATCCCCCAAGGGGAATGATCACTGGGTATGTCAGTAATCCTTCTTACTCATTCCCCCAAAAATGAAAAAGTAAATAAAAATACAGACAGTGTAACAAAGTCAAACTCATCCCTAGTGCCCATAATGATTGCAAGGATCTAGATTATGTATCTGACATGTGAAATTTTATGAATTCTATACAGAAATGTAGCACACATAATGGTTATTGGCCACCTATTACAGTAAAGTAATGCATGCGCATACATTAGCAAGAAAAAAATGTGAGTGTAATAATTTTTTGCATAGGAGCCTGCAAATCATTGCACCCCTCACCAGTGGATCAAAGGTGCAATGAAAGGCTCTTGTAGACTCTTCCTCCAGGTACAGATTTTCAGTAGGAGAGCTGGAGGAAGTATTATTGGAGTGTGGTGATCACCAGACCTGTGTTCCATTGCGGCAGACTCATACAGTTGTGCAGGTAGAGCACCATGATTTCAGAAGTGACAGCTGCTGTGGGGGAGAAGAGCTCTTGCATGCTGTCACACTGGTACAGTTTGGGGGTGGGGAGTCCCATTTGTGCCATGCCACATGTTACACCTTAAAATGGGTACAACATGTAACATGGTGCAAAAGGTAAAGGGCAGCAAAGTGACTAAATAGTCAGCACTTCCACCTGGCAGTACTAGGGTTGTTGATTCGAATCCCATAGTTTTATAAAATTTTGTAAATAAGTGATTTTTCTCCTTCACTGATGTGCGCTAATAAGGCTGCACTGATGGGCACTGATAGGCTGCACTGATGGACACTGATAGGTGGCACTGATGGGCACTGATGAGGAGGCACTGGTAGGTGGCACTGTTGGGCATTGACAGGCATCACTGATGGGCACTGAAAGGCAGCACTCATATATGGCAATGATAGGCGGCGCAGATAGGTTGCACTGATATGTGGCACTGATAGGTGGCACTGACTGGCACTGATAATGAATCGTCAGGGCACACTGATCATCAGTGCAATGATGATCAGTGTACATGTCCCTTCCGAGGAATGCTGATTACCGGCTCTCCTCTCGAACTGTTAGCGTGACAACTGGTGAGGAGAGAAATGCCGATAACCGGCATTTCCCTATTTACATGCGATCAGCTGTGATTGGACACAGCTGATCACATGACCGAGCCGACATCTCTGGCTCTTTCCGTTGATCGGTGATCCCCTGTGTCAGAGGGACACAGCGCACTCCCGGAGCCACGCATGTGCAGTTAGAATGGGAGGACGTCATATGACATCCTCCCAGAACGAGAGAACCGCCTTGTGCCCGTCATTGTACTATATGGAGGGCGGGAGGTGGTTAAATAAGGTTAAACTTTAACCCTTTCTCTGCTAGAGCCGTTTTTGCATTTCTTTGCATACATGTTTAAAAAATCATTTTAGGCCTGAAGGTTGTAAAACCCTCTAAAAATTATTCTGAAAACAAGCACCTTTAAGAAGAAAATAGTGGTAGTCAGGGGCAGACTGACAACTCATGGGGCCCCTGGGCAATAGGGGATCATGGGGCCCCTGTGTGCTCGCCCACACTCAAACCACACTCAAAAAAGCCTTTGAAAGGTACCAGGGGCATCTCATGGGGCCCCTTACTGACCCAGGGCCCTCGGGCAGTGCCCGAGTTTCCAAATGGTCAGTTCGCCCCTGGTAGTAGTTCTAATTTTTCATGTCACTCGATATTGGCACAACGGTTTATGAAATGCAAAATTTCAATAAAAAAATACACTAATGTTAATGAACATTATATTATATATATTACCCAATTATGTGCAGCCATGAAACACATTGCATTAGCGCTTGCCTTGTGCATACTAGCTGCAGAAAGTGACACCTGGACCCAGAAATGATGTTTTACTAGTCAAGTTAAGGTCAATAACAGGAAGAGGAGATGAGCGAATAATCTCCCTGCCAGGTGCCCATGCCATTGTGCCCATGGAGCCAGGGAAACATGGTGGGCATGCACCTGGGGGAGGAGGCAAGGAACCAACTGCCGGATGGCTTCCATCTGACAGTTGGCTGCAGCTGCTGAGAGTGTATGTAAACCTCTACGCAGCCACTGTCATACTAGGGTACAGCAGTGGCAGTAAAAAGGTAAACTGGATATATTCGACATATTTTTTTTTTTTCTGTCATAGCCAGTAATATTTTTTCCTCAAGTAAATAAGAAATATTGCATATACATTTTTTTTTATTTACTTATTTTTCAAGCTGCCCTTTGCTTCTAATACTCACCCTCCTTCCTTCACCTTTTTGGAGGGTACCATTCAAACTTTTCAATCAGGAACGAGAGAGAGCTTGAAAGCAGACAGCTTTTGCTGTATAAAGGTCACGTATATGCTGCCAATCGACGTTAATGCCCACTCAATAAGCAGCCACATATATGTGTACAGGCAGCGCCAACTGGTTAAATGAAAGTAATTTAAACCTATGCTATTCTTTGCAATCAGTTTACTAGCAGGGAATCTCTGTTTCTCTTTTTTCAGATTGCAAACTGTATACAAGCTTGACATGTGACCACAAAATTATATATGACATATCATATTCTAACCAAAGCTAGAAAGATGCTAATTATATCTCCTGTCTTTCATTCAAAATGAAACGGCAAATGTACTCACCCCTTTTCATTCTAAATGCTGCTGAATGTGATTAGTCACTCTCGTTTGCATACTTCAGCCATGGGCATAAGGCAGGAAATGCCAAGAAAATAAGGATACAAAGAATAGTTTGAGCCAAAAAAAAAGAAAAAAAAAGACAGGCAATTTTGTTTTTTACCTGTGTATTGTCATTTATACGATAGTTTGTAAGAAGCCCTTTAACAGACAGGGAATAATTAATACATTTCCTATAATCCAACATGAAACCACCTTAAGACATTGGGCATTTAATGTATACCCTAAATATCTTTGATGTACACAGGGCACACATCCTCTCCCCTGCTGCCCCCACCACACTTCTGCCAGCAAAACCCAGCCAAATGACTGCTGCGTACATGGAAGCTTTCAGTTTTTGATAAATACAATGTAACAACATATTTATTCTAGTGGTAGAGGATTGTACCATGTATGTCATAGATTAAAGTGTTACTAAACCCAGGACCCTGCATTCACTATATCTGGTCTCCCTCAGTACACAGAGCATGGAAATGCAATTATTTTAGTAAATATAAACTGCTAAATACCTTTTCTCATCAGCAGTTAGAGCAGTCTTGTGACTTCTATCAGTGTCCAGCCCACCATTAGCTAAAGCTTGTAGGAGGAGTTTTCTTTCTGTTCTAGGAGGATGGAAATCTCCTGACCTCTGTCTCACCAGTACTGATTGGCCCTGTGCTGATCACATGCACTCTCCCAAGGAAAAAGAAAAAAACCTCTCTAGTAATAAACACACAAATTGAACATGTGCATGCCTATGGTTCAGTCTGGAGATAAGAGGTGGTCGCTTGAAAAAAGGGAGGAACAGAGAAGAAAGGATCAAACTGCCTTTTTACACAATGCAGAGGATTAACCCTTTAGGTTCCACAGTGAGTAGAAAAAGCATGCTTTACTGCATGTACAGACTGATTTTACTGTGTTTAGTAACACTAATGCAGAAAGATTGGTGTTTGAGTGAAGGTTTTCAGGATAACTTAGATCCCTTCCGTATACATTTCTTAAACACCAAACCTTTTGCTTCTTTTTTAAATTAATATGCAGGTAAAAGGTGTGACATTTTGATCTGTATATGATGTCAGTTGAAGCAACCATAGAAGTTGAAAATCTAAAATAAATAAATAAATAAAATAAATGTGTTCCTGTTTAATCCCTTATTTACTCTTAGTAAACTCTCAGTAAATCAGCGCTAATTACCCATGCTCCCCTTTTCTGCTGATTTTTTATATCTATTTTTTAAGCATTCATATTTAAACAAGTTTGTTTTCATATTATGTTGTTGTGTTGCATTAAAAAAATTCAAGATTGGAAAAAAAAGTCCGTATTTAGTTTGGAAATAATTTTTTAGTGCTTTGTAGTCAAATCTTAATTTTACTGTTATTCTGAAAACAGAACCAATTATAAAATAAAATGCATAGTTTTTTTTAATGAACTCAACAAATAGCTTGTTTGTCCTGGAATGTAATGACAATATTTTTTGTCAAATAAACTGACCCATAGCCGAACTGTAGAAATGGCTCTGGTCCACAAGGGGTGTACAGGTGAGAGAGCTGAAATGGTTAATGGAAGAAAGGTGTAGCTTTCCTCCCTTCAAATCTTTCTTTGTTGTAGGTCTTACTGACCTTTCCACAAATCCAAAACCTAGAACAGGAGCAATCCTTTATTTCATCATTTGGCTAGAATCTGAAATATCTGCATCTGGAAATTAAAAGGATTGGGATGAAAGAGAAGTAAAACTGTTCTCTGGCACTTTAACCGTGAATGTGAGAGAAAGTCTGTGTGCAAACCTGTAGAGAAAATGTCAATGTCAATACACATTGATTCCAGATAGGCAGAAGGTACTTTTGATTGAGTGAATAAAATTGCTACAATGATATAACTTATTCATCTTTTTTTGTTAAAGAATGGAAAATTCCAGTCCTTCTATAAGGTGAAAGTTATTGGTGGCACCACTGTACAGTTAGAAGTGATAGAGGTTTCACCTTACTTCCAGTAAGGGCAGACTTATATAGCATGATAAAGGCAAGCGATGTGACATATTCAAATATTACTTGATAACGAGGCTATGCAAGGGTAAATAGTGACTGTTCATACACTTACCACATGTTTAACCACTTCAATACTGGGGCACTTTCACCCCCTTCCTGCCCAGGCCAATTTCACCTTTTCGTGCTGCTGTACTTTGAATGACAATTGCTCAGTCATGCAACACTGTACCCAAATGAAATTGTTTATAATTTTCTTCATGCAAATATAGCTTTCTTTAGGTGGTATTTGATCACCACTGGGTTTTTACTTTTTTGCTAAACAAACAAAAAAAATACCAAAAGTTTTGAAGACGTTTTCTTTGTTTCGGTTATAAACATTGGCAAATATGTATTTTTTCTTCTTCACGGGTGTGCTATCATGATGCTTCACTGACAGGCACTGATAGGTGTAACTAATGGGCACTGATAGGCTGCACTAAAGAGGCTGCACTGATGGGCACCAATGAGTCTTCACTGATGGGCTCTAAGGCTGGACTGATGTGCACTGATGAGGTGGCACTGATGGCCACTGACAAAGAGGCACTGATGAGGCTACACTAATAGTAACTTATGGGCACTGATATATGCTGTACTAATGGGACTGCAATGATGGGCACTGATATGGTGCACTGATGAGTCTGCACTAATGGGCACTGGTGGGGTTGCACTAATAATTAGTGCCCTGAGTATCAGTGTAAATGTCCCCTGTCACAGGAAAGCTGGTTATCGGCTTTCCTTCCTCAGCGCTGTGACATCGCTTGTTTACAAGTGATCAGCTGTGAATGGACACAGCTGATCACATGGTAAAGAGCCAACGTCAGTGGTAGGTGTAACTAATGGGCACTGATTGCTGTAGTGACTCCATCAGTGCCACACATATATCATCCTTGCAATACTGAGGGGAATATTTACAGTATACTGTTCCGTCTATACTACTGCAGGAGACCTACATTATCCAGCCTTCACTTCAAGCCTATCTGCCAATACTTGATGAGCGACGGGTTATATTATACATACTAGTATATACAATATATTACCAGAGGAACTACCGCAACCCTCCTCCTTGCCTCGTTTAGAGGTTTACTTTTATAGACATGTTTAGGGCTTTATGTCTTTTCCATCACTTATCATGCACCTTTGGGTGCATTTATATGTATTTGTGATATATACATGACCCAGCTGTCCTTGCTACTTATCAATACTCTTTTGGATTGTTTGCATTTATATCATTATTTTTCATTCATCTATGTTCATCTTTTCCATCCTTTTGACTTCCATATCCACTTCAGGTCCTTCTTTTACCATTCTCTTATGGGGCTTTTGCATGCCTAGCGTCACCGTGGACGATCTTGCCATTCTTTCTCTATTCCTTCCCCTGGTGGTGGTGAGGTAACCCCTGTGTTTTGGCCCCTTATGCCAACATGTCCCCTGATGTGTGTCATTTTTTACTGCAATAAATAAATTTTTTTTTCTATTATATTTAACTATATGCTGCAGTTTGTCCTCACTCGGACCCCCTTGACCTGTGGGTTCTTTACCCACTGTGGTTTTTTTCTTTCTTTAATCTAATATTGGTATTTACACTGAAGTAGAGGAAGTAGACTTTTGCACATTTATGAAATGTCAGGTAACATTTAATTTGTGCTGGTAAGTGTGTACATTGGTGCTCACATGAATTAAATCTCATAGGATAATTTAGTTCAGTGTCCAGCAACTTGGAGTACTAAAATTATGGTTTAGGACTTGAAGATCTGGCACTTTAATACATGTGGCTCAATAAGCAATCCAAAAGCTGGAATCACTCTTTACTACCCACAACAATTTTCCAACAGATAAAAAAAACTTTGTGGAATAACAGTATCAACAGCTGTTTACTTATACATACTCCACCTTCCAGCCAATATACAGTACTTTGTAACAGAAAAAAGAGGAGGTTGCTGGACACACAAACATAGTCCATTTCTAGTGTCATTTAGCACCTTTGTCG